CCCCCCCCCCCCCGTAACTATTTTTTTTTTCTTTCCTTTCTCCCATGGTCTTCTATTAAGTTTCTCAGATTCCACATATGAGTGAAAACATGGTATCCATCTTTCTCCTGACTGACTTATTTCACTTAGCATAATACCCTCCAGTTCCATCCATGTTGTTGTGAATGGCAAGATTTCATTCTTCTTCATTGCTGAGTAGTAGTCCATTGTATATGTACACCACGTCTTCTTTTTCCATTCATCAGTTTATGGACATTTGGGCTCTTTCCATAATATGCTATTGTTGATAGTCCTGTGGTAAACGTTGGGGTACATGTGCCCCTGTGAATCAGCACTCCTCTATCCTTTGGATAAATTCCCAGTAGTGCAATTGCTGGGTCATAGGGTAGTTCTATTTTTAATTTTTTGAGTAATCTTCACACTGTTTTCCAGTTTGCATTCCCACCAACAGTGCAAGAGGGTTCCCGTTTCTCCACATTCTTGCCAACATGTGTTGTTTCCTGAGTTATTAATTTTAGCCACTCTGACTGGTGTAGTTTTGATATATATTTCCCTGATTATTAGTGATGTTGGACATCTTTTCATGTGTCTGCTAGCCATCTGGAAGTCTTCTTCGGAAAGTGTCTATTCACGTCTTCTTCCCTGGAATAAGTTTCATCCTTCTTCACTGGATTATTTGTTTTTGGATGTTGAGTTTGGTAAATTATTTAAAGATTTTGGATACTAACCCTTTATCTGATGTGTCATTTGCAAATATCTTCTCCCATTCCACTGGTTGCCTTTTAGTTTTGTTGATTCTTTCCTTTGCTGTGCAGAAGCTTTTTTTTTTTTTTTTATTGATGAGATACCAATAGCTCATTTTTGCCTTTATTTCCCTTGCCTTCAGAGACATGTCAAATAAGATGTTGCTGTGGCCGCGGTCAAAGAGGTTGTTGCCTGTTTTCTCCTCTAGGGGTTTTGATGATTTCCTGTGTCACATTTAGGTCTTTCATCCATTTGAATTTATTTTTGTGTATTGTGGAAGAGAATGTTCCAGTTTCATCCTTCTGCATGTTGCTGTCCAGTTCTCTCAGAATCTTGCTAAAGAGACTATCTTTTTTCCATTGGATACCCTTTCCTGCTTTGTCGAAGATTAGTTGGCCATACATTTGTGGGTCCAGTTCTGGGTTTTCTGTTGTATTCTATTGGTCTATGTGTCTGTTTTTGTGCCAATACCATACTGTCTTGATGACTACAGCTTTGTAGTAACAGGCTAAGGTCTGGGATTGTGATGCCTCCCCCTATGTTTTTTCTTTTTCAACATTACTTTGGCTTTTTAGGGTCTTTTCTGGTTGCATACAAATTTTAGGATTGTTCTAGCTCTGAGAAGAATGCTGGTGCTATTTTGATTGTGTATTGAATGTGTAAATTGCTCTGGGTAGTATGGACACTTTAACAATGTTTGTTCTTGCAATCCATGAGCAGGGAATATTTTTCCATTTCTTTGTGTCTTCAATTTCTTTCACAAGTGTTCCTTAATTTTCAGAGTACAGATCCTTTACTTCTTTGGTTAGGTTTATTCCCAGGTATTTTATGGTTCCTGGTGCAATTGTAAATAGATCAGTTTCTTTATTTCTCTTTCCAATGCTTCATTATTGGCGTATAGAAATGAGACCTATTTCTGTACATTGATTTTATATCCTGCAAGTTTGCTGAATTCACATACCAGTTCTAGCAGCTTTTTGGTGGAGTCTTTTGGGTTTTCCATGTAAAGTATCATGTCATCTGCAAAAAGTGAAAGGTTGACTTCTTCTTTACCAATTTGGATGCCTTTTATTTCATTTTGTTGTCAGTTGTAGCTAGGACTTCCAACACTATGTTAAACAACATTGGTGAGGGGTGCCTGGGTGGCTCAGTCGGTTAAGTGTCTGACTTCAGCTCAGGTCATGATCTCATGGTTTGTGAGTTCAAGCCCTGAGTCAGGCTCTGTGCTGACAGCTCAGAGCCTGGAGCCTGCTTCAGATTCTGTGTCTCCTTCTCTCTCTGCCCCTCCCCAACTTGTGCTCTCTCTATGTCTCTCAAAAAATAAATAAATGTAAAAAAAAAACAAAACACAACATTGGTGAGAGTGGACATCCCTGTCATTTTCCTGACCTCAGGGAGAAAGCTCTCAATTTTTCCCCATTGAGGATGATATTAGCTGTGGGCTTTTCATATATGGCTTTTATGATGTTAAGGTATGTTCCTTCTATCCCAACCTTTTGGGGGTTTTTATAAAGAAAGGATGCTGTATTTTGTCAAATGTTTTTTCTGCGTCTATTGACAGGATCATATCGTTCTTATCCTTTCTTCTATTAATGTGATGTATCACATTGATTGATTTGAAAATATTGAACCAGCCCTGTAGCCCAGGAATGAATCCCACTTGATCGTGGTGAATAATTCTTTTTAATATACTGTTGAATGCAATTTGCTAGTGTCTTGTTGAGAAGTTTTACATCCATTTTCATCAGACATATTGGTCTGTAATTCTCCTTTTTTGTGGGGTCTCTGTCTGGTTTGGGAATCAAGGTAATGCTGGCTTCATAGAATGAATCCAGAAGCTTTCCTTCCGTTTCAATTTTTTGGAACAGCTTGAAAAGGATAGGTATTAACTCTGCTTTAAATGTCTGGTAGAATTCCCCTGGGAAGCCATCTGGCTCAGGACTCTTATTTATTGGGGATTTTTGATAACCGATTCAATTTCTTTGCTGGTTATGGGTCTGTTCAGATTTTCTTTCTTCCTGTTTGAGTTTTGGCAGTGTGCGGATGTCTAGGACTTTGTCCATTTTCTGGGTTGTCCAGTTTGTTGGCATATAATTTTTCATAGTAAGAATGAATTTTTAGATGAGAGTTAATAAATTGATAACTGTGGCTGATTGCTACATCACTTTTTAGATCCATTTATGATGGTTTTAGATTCCATTTATGATTTGGCAATGTATCTTATATACCAAATTATGTCCTCTCTTTGGGATCGTGCCTTTGTCCATAGAGTTTCCATACATCTCTTCCAGTTGTCCTGTATCCCCCAGTTTCAGACTTCCAGAACATTGCCCAGTGTTTACTTCTTGCTGTTATATCCTAATTCCATTTCAAGTAGCCATTACTAAAATGTCTCTTTTAAATTCCCATTGCTAGAATTTCTCTTTGCTAGGTTTTAGGACTATGCCTTGACTACTACTACTTTTTTCTTTTTAGCTTTCCCTCACATCATAAGGGTCAGAGGTATATATGTGTGTGGATCTCTGCTATTCTGAATTTTTTTTTTTTTTACCTCCATTGCTACTCTGATTGCTTATGTCTCCACATGTTAGCTGTTTGATATTTCTTTCATTTTTTTTATTTTTTATTTTTGTTTGTTTTGTTTTTTTGGATGGGGGGGCATTCATCTTGATGAACTTTCTTTAAATAGACTTATTGTCTATAATACCAGTTATGGTCTATCATCTTATTCTATGGATCCTATTGATTTTCTGACTGCTCATTATTCTGTAGCTTGGTCTGTTCAAAAAGTCTTGAGACATCCAAATGGGTCTCAGTTTTCCACATACAGATGGAAGAATGCCAGTTTCATGGACTTATATATTAACTTCTGGGAGTTAGTAGTAGAAAGTATTGCTTTTGAGAGCAAATTACTGTATTTCCATATTTATCACAGGTAAGAGTATTCTTAAAAAGGATTTTGGGAAATCAATTATTTTAGAATTCTCTTGTAAATATTTTGAATTACCGTTAATTATTCTGCTACAATTGTTATTGAACTTGCTTAAAATTCTCCTATATTAAGGATTAGTTTTGACATGTAAAAGTCAATACTTAACTATAATTCTGTTGCTAGATAATTACTCTTAAATTATATTTATAAAATATTATTATTTCATTGTAGTTATAGATAAAATATAAAAATTATGTAACTTGTAAATAAAATGATGACATTTCTTTGAGATATAGTTGCAAAATGGGTATTTCTTAAGTAACTGGCTAATTTTATGTTTTAGATAAGTAAAGATCAAAATTTTTTAGAAACAGAGTTTCCAGCACCTGACAAAACGGTCACTTTAAGCCTTGCACAAGTAGTAAAGCAGGTGCAAAAACTAGAAGAACTGAAAAATCGTCTTAAACAAGAGTCTTTATACTCCTTGAAAGCCTTGTTGTCTAAACCCAAGTAAGTAAAATATAAGAGTTAATAGAATTCAAAACAATAAGAGTGGGTATAAAGTAGTAACACATGTAATGGTTCAGATATTGTGCTGTATGTAGTTTCTAAATCATATCAAATAGTATACTCAGCTTGCTCCTATTTGAAATTTTTGACAGTTTGAAGTGGCACCGGAAAATCAGTAGTCACTAGTCACATCTAGCTACTAAAATTGAAATTCAGTTCAATTTTATTAAAAAGTCAATTCTGCATTCATACTACCCATATTTCAAATGCTTAGTAGCCACATGTGGCTGTTGCTAGAAAGTTCTGTTGGAATGGCTGGCTTAAATATCTGGCTTTTAAAATATTCTCTCAGTTTGATTATGCAGCTTCTATAGTAAATAGGAAACTAAGATAAAGTTATTTATGAACAGCATCATTAAAAATTTCATAGGGACAGGGATATGTTCTAAAGAAAAATTCTCTACTTTCTAGTTGTGGAAAGCCTTTTTTTTTTGACAGATGGGAGAAAGATTCAAATGATTGATTACAATGATACTCCTATTATCTGACTTTTGATATTTGAGGTTTATCTGTCTTGAATTTAATAGATGACTAAATTATTATCATGGAATAACTTTTAGGACTTTTTTTTCCCACCTCACATAGTTACTTCTTTTGTGTGTGGTGAAAACACTTTAAGATTCACTCTTAGCAAATATGAAGTATACATTAATATTGTTAACTGTAAACAGCATGCTATACATTAGATGTCTGACATATTCAACTTTTGTTATTTTGTTATTTTATTTTTTGTTTTAATTCCAGTATAGTTAACATACATCATTATATTAGTTTCAGGTGTACAAAATAGTGATTTAACAGTTCCATACTGGTGCTTATCATGACAGATGCACTCCTTAATCCCCATCACCTATTTTACCCATCCCTCCTCTCACTTCCCCTCTTACAACCATCAGTTTGTTCTCTATAATTAAAAGTCTGCTTTTTAATTTGTCTTTCTAGCTTCCCCCCCCCCTTTTCCCATTTCTTTGTTTCTTTTTTTTAAAGTTTATTTTGAAAGAGAGTGTGAGTGGGGGAGGGGCAGAGAGGGAGAGAGGATCCCAAGGGGCTCCATGATGTCAGTGGGGAGCCTGATGTGGGGCTCAGTCTTACCAACTGGGAGATCATGAACTGAGCTGAAATCAAAAGTCAGACTCTTAACTGACTGAGTCACCCAGGGGTCCCTGTTTTGTTTCTTAAATTCTACATATAAGTGAAATCAGAGGGCACTGGGGTTGCTCTTGGCAAGAAGGCAGGGCAAACAGCCTGTGGACATACAGCGTGGAAACAGTGATCTGAAGAGTACTACTTTCTGAGATATGTACTCTAATATCCCAATTTTAATAGATGAAGAAACTAAAAGTCAGAGACATTAAATAACTTACCCAAGGTCATATAATTAGTAAGTGGGAAAGACAAGTTTTGAGCCAAGCAGCTTGTCTCTAGAACTTGTGCTCTTAATAATTTCACCATTAAAAGAAATATCCTATTTTTATTCAATTTACTTTTGCTATTTTTTTTTTAATTTTTTTTTCAACGTTTATTTATTTTTGGGACAGAGAGAGACAGAGCATGAACGGGGGAGGGGCAGAGAGAGAGGGAGACACAGAATCGGAAACAGGCTCCAGGCTCCGAGCCGTCAGCCCAGAGCCTGACGCGGGGCTCGAACTCACGGACCACGAGATCGTGACCTGGCTGAAGTCGGACGCTTAACCGACTGCGCCACCCAGGCGCCCCTACTTTTGCTATTTTTATTAAGATTGTTGTTGATATACCTAATTATATTCATGGAATACATAGAATTTTTAGAATTACATAATGTGACTTTTATACTTATTTGCTTGGTACTAATTAATTTACCTTACTGTCTGTGAATAAAAGTTAAAAAATATGTTAAATTTTATTTTACAAACTGTATAATATCTAGAGCATATATTCTATTTATTAAGTGTAATTTAAACTCTTATTCTTTGATAATAAATACATGTTGTATTTATTGAAATTTAAACAGGCATAGTGAAAATTTACCAGGAGCATTACAAAGTTATGAAACCATACAGCAGATAATTGAAGGTGATAATATTTTATACATGTTTAGCATTATAAGTTTTTTCTATATTACATTAACATTTGAGACTTAGTTTAAAAATTTATATCCATAAAATTATATAATAGTAAATTTAAAGATATATTCAATAGTGAGTTTGATATTTTCAATAAAAGTTATTATGTTTCAGATTCTGGGAGTTGTACAAAACGAATAAACCTTGGTTGTTACCACCATAAAATACACAATGCAGTAAGGACACAAGCACATTATGTATCATTTTAATATAGTGTAATACATGAGAATGCATGATAAAGGTTATGTGTGATTTTCAGTGAATCCACAGAGAGCCAGTTTGTTCAACCTGAGGGAGTTGGAAAGATTTTATGCAACTGTAAAGGACAAAGGATCCTTTGTCCTTTACATAATAGGATCTAGTCAAATGAAGAAGGGAGATATCTGTTTTTTTACGAAGAAGACCTAGTATGAGCAAAGAGCGTGAATAGGGAATTGCAAGTGGAATGGTATTAGAATTTGGAGCTAGAAGGTAGGGATAAGGTAAGAGAGAGCCTAGTCAGAGGGATCGGATGCTGTGCTAGCGAACTTTTTTTTCCTCGTATATACTAGGGAATCGCTGACGACTTTTTGTAAGAAAGTGACATTGTTGGATTTAATTGTAGACAGATTATTCTGGCCACATTGTAGAAGCTATATTTGGGGACTAGGTATAGGGAAGGGAAGTTATTGCTGTGTTTTAGATGTGTGATAAGTTCTTATATGAGAGCATAAATAAACAAGAATCGGGGTAGATTTGAGAAAATTTACTGGTAAAATTGGGAAAACTTGGTGATTAGATATGAAAGGAAGGGAGATTAAATCATGGTAACATTAATTAAAAGAATGTAAGAGGAACAAGTGTTGTTGAGAAAATGATGAGTTTATATTACTCAATTGTTATATACATTCATTCAGATATTACCATTTGGTGCCTGATTGGGAGGCTTTCCACTGTTGGGAGCTCTATTGTTTTTCTTAGAGTTTTCTTTAAACTCAATATGTATAATTGATATATTAAACATATGACAAATTTACTATTATTTCAGAATTCATAAAAACCCACCCAACTAAAGAATTTATAGATGTTTCTGCAACTGATCCACGTAAGTTTCCACTCATTTAAACATTATTGTGTTAACAACTTGTGTCAAGTGCATTAATTTCTATAGTTTTCTATAATTTAAAGTTATTATAAAGTAATAACATAGAGTCCCTGGAGTTTGGAGCCATACAGTTGAACTGACTATCAAGCAAGTATTGAAATTCCTAATTAAGGCTACATGCTACAAAAAATAGACTCATTTTTGAGGACGGAGGATTTAAAAACAATTTTTTTATGTTTATTTTTGAGAGAAAGAGCATTAGCAGGGGAAGGGCAGAGAGAGGGAAACACAGAATCCAAAGCAGGCTCCAGGCTCTGAGCTGTCAGCAGAGTCAGACACAGGGCTCAACTCAAACTCATGAACCTTGAGATCATGTCCTGAACCGAAGTCAAGCACTTAACCGACTGAGCCACTCAGGCACCCCAAGGGATGGAGGAGTTTTGGTTGTGATTAGAGTATGCTGCTGAAATGTTTCAGGCGTGCCAAGCCTTTGAGATGGAACAGCAATAAACTTAAAAGGTCATTTGTAGATTTTGTTTCTGTGAATTATAGATCAACTCATATGCACTAATTCTTTGATAACAGCTGAGTACCAATTGGTTCATGAATATAAAGAGCTGCTAGAACTGCTCTGTTGAACTTCTGACTACTTATCAACAGAAAGGAGAAATTACCTTGCTTATGTCAAGATAGTAGAAAGAATTTTGAAACAATGATGTAATATATGCTGTAGAGTACAATTTATATTATAAGCTAGAAAATAAAACTTGCGTAGAAAAGGTTGACAGGAATCCTGTTCTCTTTCCACTTCGGCTTTAAACCCTAGTGTTGCCATATTTAAACCAAAGGCTTTGTTTCCGATTCTGTGTCTCCCTCTCTCTCTGCCCCTCCCCCGTTCATGCTCTGTCTCTCTCTGTCCCAAAAATAAATAAACGTTGAAAAAAAAAAATTAAAAAAAAAAAACAAAGGCTTTAATTCAACAGTGATTAATTCTACAGCTTGATTCTACAGTGCTCCCAAATTCTGTAGAGACCTTTGATCCAAAAGTCCTGACTGACTACATGAGTAGAAAGCTATCTAGAGCTTTGGAGTGGGTAGTGAAAGTTTCTTTTTACATCCAGGAAAACTCTCTGCACATCTCTAGGGCTGTCTTTCTGAATCTGTGCAGCTGTCTTCTCTCTAATACTGTGTCCTGTGAATTCTAGCTGCTTTGGGCTTCCAAAAATCTAAACTTTGTCTCTGAACCCCAGGAGAGCAGTAGACTCTGGGTCCCCCTTCCTTATGCTGTGGCCTGGAAACTTCAGGAAGTAAGATGGGGTTATCAAAGGGCTCTGTTCCTTTCTTTTCCTTCTGCTTGTTTTCCAATGTCTGAATATTGCTGTTTTACATATTTTCCCCCAAGATTTTAATTGGCTTAAGGTAAAAGAATAATTCTAGTCCCTGATGCTCCTTCATGGACAAAAACAGAAGTCTCTATGCCCACATATAGGCTGATTGGAACACATCCTCTAACCACAAAACCAAAAGAATTAAATATAATAGAAGTGTTACTGATTACTTAAAAATGTTCTCCTTTTGTCTGTCTCTGTCTCTTCATTCATTTATTTAATTGAGGTATAATTGACATACATTACATTAGCATCAAGTGTGTGATATTTGTATAATTTGCAAGATGATCATCACAATAAATCTAGTTCGATTACAAGAATTTTTTGTTCTTGTGATGAGAACTTTCAAGATCTACTCTCTTAACAACTTTCAAATATGCAATACAGTATTACTAACTATAGACACCATCTGTACATTATATCCCATAACTTACTTATTTCGTAACTGGAAGTTTGTACCTTTTGACCTCTTTCACCCATTTTTCCCACCCCACCTCCACCCCCCATTCAACATACATATATACATGTTCAACACACATATATGTTCTGTGTATCTATGAGCTATCTTTTTCCATGACAGCTGCCGCAGTCCCTGCGCTCCTTTAGTATAAATATGCTTTCTCTCAGTATTATTCAGTTTTACTTGTATATGCTCTCTTTTTCTGCTAAGTGTACCCTTTTCATATTCTCTGGCCAAACTTTATTCTCTTCCCATTCTCTAAATTTGATATCATAGCCTAATCAACAAGGCACAAGTTATCTTTGTATTCCACTCTGTGTTTATACTATTTAACTTTGATATTGCTTCATTTCATAATTAATGAAATTTATTTCTTTACAGCAGTTTTAGGTTTATGGAAAACTTGAGCAGAAAGTACAGAGTTCCCATATACCCATTCTCTGCTGCCTACTCTCTGCACAGTTTTATTAACATTTTTCATTAGTGTGCTACATTTGTTAAAATTGATGAACCAATACAATACAATATTAATACAATATTATTAATTAAATTCCAAGCTTACATTGGGTTCAATCTTTGTGCTACAGAGTTCTATAGGTTTTGACAAATGTATAATGTCATGTATCCACCATTACAATATCATACAGACAGGTTTCACTGCCTTGCATCACATGTTCTACCTATTTATTTCTCCTTCCATCTACCTGAGTCCTTGGCAATCATTAATCTTTTTGATGTCTCTGTAGTATTGCCCTTCCAAGTATGTCATATATTTGGACTCATACAGTCTTTCCTTTACTTAGCAGTATGCATTTAAATTTCCTTCTTAATGATTTTTGTGGTTTTATAGTTGATTTATTTTTATTAATGAATAATAATCCATTATATGGATGTACCATAGTTTGTTTAATCCATTCATCTACTGAAGGACAACTTGGTTGCTTCTGAGTTTTTGCAATTAAAGAAAAGCTGCTAAAATATTATTTTGTGTGTGTGTGTGTGTGCATGTTTTTCAGCTCATTGGGGTGAATACCAAGGAGTGCAATTGCTGGGTCATATAGTAAATGTATGTTTAGTTTTTTAAGAAACTGCTAAACCATCTTGCAAACGGACTGTATCATTTTGTATCCCCACCATCAATGAGAATAAGAATTCCTATTGACCTATATCTTTGTCAACATTTGGTGTTACCAGAATTTTGGATTTTAGCCATTCTAAAAGTTTTTGCTCTAATTTGTAATATCTGATGTTGAGATTTTTTTCATACTTTTTTTTGCCATCTTTGGTGAGGCATTTGTTCAGATCTTTTACTAATTTTAAAATTTTATTTATTATTTATTTATTAAAGTTTATTTATTTATTTTGAGAGATGCAGAGACAGTGTGACTAGTGGAGGGGCAGAGAGAGAGGGAGAGAGAGAGAATCCCAAGCAGGCTCCACACTATCAGTGCAGAGCCCAAAGCAGGGCTCAAACTCATGAAACTGCAAGATCATGACCAGAGCTCAAGTTGGACGCTGAACTGACTGAGCCACCCAGGCACCCCTAAAATTTATTTATTTAAATTCAAGTTAATTTCACTCTTATGTGGGTCCTGAGAAACTTAATAGAAGACCATGGGGGAGGGGAAGGGAAAAAAAAGTTAGAGAGGGAGGGAGCCAAACCATAAGACTCTTTAAAAAAAAAAATTTTTTTTTAATGTTTATTTTATTGAGACAGAGAGAGACAGAGCATGAATGGGGGAGGGGCAGAAAGAGAGGGAGACACAGAATCGGAAGCAGGCTCCAGGCTCTGAGCCATCAGCCCAGAGCCCGAAGCGGGGCTCGAACTCACAGACCGCGAGATCGTGACCTGAGCCGAAGTCGGAAGCTTAACCAACTGAGCCACCCAGACGCCCCAATAAGAGACTCTTAAAAAAAGAATAAACTGAGGGTTGATGGGGGGTGGGAGGGAGGGGAAAGTGGGTGATGGGCATTGAGGAGGGCACCTGCTGGGATGAGCACTGGGTGTTATATGGAAACCAATTTGATAATAAATTTCATATTAAAAAAAATAAATTCAAGTTAACATACAGCGTAGTGTTGGTTTCAGGAGTAGAACCCAGTGATTCATCACTTACGTATAACACCCAGTGCTCATACCAACAAGTGCCCTCCTTTATACCCATTACTTATTTAGCCTGTTCCCCACCCATCTCCTCTCCAAAAACCCTCAGTTTGTTCTCTGTATTTAAGAGTCTCCTATGGTTTGCCTCCCTCTGTTTTTATCTTGTTTTTCCTACCCTTTCCCTGTGTTCATCTGTTGTGTTAAATTCCAAATATGAAATCATAAAAATTGTCTTTCTCTGCCTGATTTATTTCACTTAGCATAATATACTCTAGTTCTGTCCTCACACCAGTCAGAGTGGCTAACATAAAAAATGCAAGAAACAACAGGTGTTGGCAAGGATGTGGAGAAAGGAGAACCCTCTTGCACTGTTGGTGGGAATGCAAACTGGTGCAGCTGCTCTGGAAAACAGAGTAGAGGTTACTCAAAAAATTAAAAATAGAACTAACTACCGTATGACCCAGCAATTGCAGTACTAGGAATTTATCCAAAGGATACAGGAGTGCTGATTCATAGGGGCACATGCACCCCAATGTTTATAGCAGCTCTATCAACAATAGCCAAAGTATGGAAAGAGCCCAAATGTTTATCAACTGATGAATGGATTAAGAAGATGTGGTATATATACACAATGGAATACTACTCAGTGATGAAAAAGAATGGAATCTTGCCATTTTCAACAACGTGGATGGAACTGGTGGGTATTATGCTAAGGGAAATAAGTCAGAGAAAGATGGATATCATATGATTTCACTTATATGTGGAATTTAAGAAACTTAACAGATGAACATATTTGTATGGAACCACAAAAGACCTTGAATAGCTAAAATAATCTTGAAAAAGAAAAGCAAAGTTGGAGGCGTCACAATTCTAGGCTTCAAGTTATATTAGAAAGCTATAGTGATCAAGGCAGGATGGTACTGGCACAAAACTAGGTCAGTGGAACAGAATAGAAAACCCAGAAATGAGTCCACAACTATATGGTCAACTGATCTTCAACAAAGCAAGAAAGAATATCCAATGGAAAAAAAATTCTCTTCAACAAGTG